GCGGGACAGGGGCTTGGAGCAGGAGGAGGGGGCGGAAAAGAGGGGGTGATGACTAGGGGGGGGTGGATATCATGGCGTGGGCCATGATATTTCCCTAGATTTCTTGGCGCCTCTTCTTATTTGATTGCGTCCCTGGCTTCCCGCTGGGCCGCGCACATGCCGCCGGTCATGATTTGCACCCCCCCCTCTTGGACACCCCCCTCTTGGCCGCTCCCGAAGGAGGAGGGGGAGGAGGAGGAGGAAACGGGGGAGTCCTTACCCCACTCCTCCATCACCCTTCTCTCTCTCTCTTGTTTCCTCCCTGCCGTGGTGACCATCCTGGAGGGGCGTGGAGGAAGTGGCGGTGGCGTTCGTTTCTGCTTGTCCTGGCTATCCCTGCTGCCTTGGGCATCCGGGCTCCCGGTGCTGCACTTGCGGGAGGGGCTGCGCACGCGCGTGGAGCGCACCCGCAGCATGCTGAAGAAGGAGAAGGGGGGAGCAGGAGGTCACCACCCACCAAACCACCCCAACCCAACCCGAAGGCTCAGATTTACCCTCGATTTCCAGTGGGGGGGGGGGGTCGGGAAACATCGAGAAAGCACGTGTGGAACCCTTGGAAAACATCGAGAAACGTCGGGGTGTGGAACATCCAGTGGGGGGGGGGGTCGGGAAACATCGAGAAAACATCGAGAAAACGTCGGGAAACATCGAAACAACGAACCCTTACCCCCCCCAGCCCGAGATTCGGGCCTTCGGGTTGGGTTGGGGTGGTCTGGTAGGTAGGCAGGAGGAGGAGTCGAATCGAGTGAGCCAGGTCGAACGGGTCAGCGGGTCCCGCCCATTCCCACATTCCCTCCCCCCCTCCTCCTCCTCCTCCTCCTCCTCCTCCTCCTCATCCTCCTCCTCCTCGTCCTCCTCCTCCTCATCCTCCTCCTCCTCCTCCTCCTCCTTCTCCCCACTCCTCCTCCTTCTCCTCCTCCTCCTCCCCATTAGCATCATCCTCAGCATCATCAACATCATCAGCCCCAAGCACACGAGGTACACGCAGAATGGACTGGAACGCGTTCCAACCTGGCGAACGGATACATGCGCCGCGCTGTGTCTGGAGCGCCACTTCCAGGCGACGTCTGCGCGGTGCCAGGGCGAGAACAACGTTTTCGCCCGCTCGCGCATCGAGGATTTGGCGAGCGAAACATGTGCGCAAAGTCCGAATGGAAATTCAACCGTCAGGAAAGAACGAGCGGTGCTGAGGCGAGAGTGAAATATCGCCTTTTAGCGCGGGATGCGCGCCCCGTCCCATTCCCGTCACGCATGTGGCAACGTCGACGCCGAACTGTCCGCAAACGCAGCATTCGTATTGTTGCTCAAGGTGAGGTGGGACGTCCTAAATTGACCGCCCAACGGCCCGCTACGTGTCAGAGTAGGAGTAATTATTCGCTCTATTATCCTAAGAGGAGCAGTCTGAGTAGGAGGAGGAAAGGGAGGAGGCGGGGGAGTACGTAGTCGTAGGAGGGAGGAGGAGAAGGAGGAAGAGACGGACTCTCCCCCCTGTTCTGTCCCTCCGCCTCTCTCTTCTCGTTCCCGTCCTGGCCGATTTTGAGGCTTCCACGTGCAATTTGAAACTCGACGCGAGGCGCAAACATCATTTTTGGGAATTCTGCGCGTATTTCTTGGGCTGGCCGCGGTTCCTCCTCCCCGCGCCCCGTGGGTGGCTGTTCCGTCGACGCATAGGGCACGCTCTGCGCGCCAGGGAGGTGGGTGCGTGGAAAGGGGGTCCAGTGTCGACCCAAGAAATTTACATGAGCCTCTTTCCAGTTTAGGTTTACTTTGTTGCTCCTCGAACAAATGTATCCAGGTGGCCCACGAGAAGGAGGTAAGGATGATGGCGATTATGCCGCGTGATCTCATGGAATGGTGATGTTGTCTCGAGCAGCCTTGCATCGGCGAGGAGTTCGCCATCGCGCGTGCGTGCGTGTATCGGCGTGGGTATGCGTGCGAACAATTCCTGTATCTGCGCTGTATGTATGAATGTATTTATATGTTTACGTATGTATATATATATATATATATAGGTATTTGTATTGTATTTATACACGTTTATGAATATGTACATGTATATATATATATACACATATTTATGTGTATATGTATATGTTTATGTATGGGTATATGTATTTGTATCTGCTTATATATATAGATATATGTATTTGTACATATACGTGTACATGTCTATGCGTATGTATAGGTATATGTCTACGTGCATGTTCATGTATATGTATGCTTACATGTATTTGCATGCGTTCGCGTATATGTATGAGTATATGTACATGCGCATGCATGTGTATATGTGTTTTACGATGCATGTGTATATGTATGTGTATGTTTAGTTTTATATTGATATGTGCACAGATATCAGTACATGTACATGTTTCTGTATACGTATTTGTATCGCACTATACATATGTATAAGTTTGTGTATGTGTTTGGCTTTTTTTGTGTATGTGTAAGTGCATGTACATGTTAATGTAAGTGTATGAGTAGATATACATATATATATATATGTGTAGACGTCTATGTATATCGATATGTATTTGTGTATTTGTATCTTCATGTATATGTGCATGCATCTGTATACGTATACGTATACGCATATGTATATGTGTGTGTATGTGTACAGGTATGGGTACTTGTTTTCTAGGTTAGACTCATGCTTATGTAAAGGCGTGTGTATCTTTAGTTGTATATGCATACGTATATGCATATGTATAGGTGTATGTATCTGTAACTGCGTATATATACACGTATATATGCATATGCATATATGTACCTATTTATAACTATATGTGTGTGTATGTGTATAGATATGAGTATTTGTATATGTGTACGAATTTGTTGATGTAGACGTATATGTACATGTACATGTATTTGTAAATGGATATGCTTCTTTATCGGTGCATGCATCTGTGTAGGCATGTGTATATGTATGTGCTTACGCATCTGTATATGTAGTTTCATATGTGAATGTATTTACATATGCATATCCGTACGCACATGTACATGTAGATATGTATGCGTCACTGTATCTGTATATGTGCGTGTACATGTAGCTGTCTATGTCTATGTATATATGTATATGTATATGTATGTGTATATCTATGTGTATATGTATACGTATATGTATATGTATGTATACATGTATTTGCATTTGTATATGATTATGTCTATGTGTATCTATATGTATGTGCATAGCTGCGCGGAAGCACGAGCGACATGTATTTGCATATATATATATGTATATGTATATGAACATGTATGTATGTATGTGTACTTATATATATATATGCATATGTATATGTATATATTTACGGAACATTTCATGTATACGTATATGGATATGGATATGTTTATGGATATGGGTATGTTTTCGAATATGTATATGTATTTGTACATTCTATATATATATATGTTTCTTTTGTATATGTGTATGTATATAGTAATGTATATGTATAGGTTTATGCATATGCACATGCATATACATAGGCATATGCATGCATATGCATATATATATGTATATGTGTGTACGTACCTACGTATGTATGTATGTCTGTATGTGTGTATGCCTGTATGTCTATATGTCTGTATGTATGTATATCCCTATGTCTCTATGTCTGTATGTATATACGTATGTATGTTTACATGTTTATGTATGTCTGTATATATATGTACATATAGTCACACATCTATGCATTATATATATATATATGTATGTATACGCCCTCCTGGGGTTCAGCCCACTGTGCTACCTTTTTCAGCAAATCCCCAGTACCACCCTCGCGGGCCTCCAAGCGAGCCCCCGGAGAGCCTGAACACGGCCCAGGACGCCCCCGGGACAGCCCAAGGGTGCTCCAAGGCTGTCCAAGCCGGCCCCCTGACGGCTCCAGAAGCCCCCAAGAGCACTCAAGGTCGCCCCAAGAGGCTTCCAAGAGTCTCCCAAGAGCTCCAGGGAAGCCCTGGAGATGTCAAAATCGTCGAACAATCAATGAGAACCACTGGTTTTCTGTTTTCTTGCGCTGCCGCCTCCGACGCGCTTCCGAGGCTTGCGCAAGCCCCCCGACCGAGCTCGAACAGGCCCCCGAGAGGCGTCCCGAGCGGCGCGAGGCCACAAGAGGCCTCCATGACGCCCGAAAGAGCACCACCGAGGCCCCAAAGACGCTCTGAGCAGGCCCCGACGAGCTCCCAGGAGCCGCCCCGGAGGCACCCAGCGACGAAGAGGGCCCCGCGACGCGATGCCCTGAAGAGCTCCCAAGGTGTCCCCAGGAGAGCTCCAAGATGCCCCCAAGAGGCGTATCGAGCGGCTTACATGGGCATGCGCAGGCCTCGGAAGCGCAGCGGAGGCGGTCCGTTCCCTCCTGTCCCAGGCTGTGGCGTGCCCCAGAGTGCGTTTCCGTTTCCCCCCCCCCCTCGCTGTCGACTCTTCTTGCTCTCTCTCCTGCTCTTTCTTCCCCTCTGTCTCCCCTTCCACATCCTTCTCCTTCAGCTCTTCCTCCCTCCTCCCCGCTTCGTCATTTTTCCTCCTCCCTCTTCCTCATCTCTCCTTCACGCCTTCCTCTCGCCGCCTCCCTCATGCGTTTCCGTCTCCATCCTCCTCTCTTCTTCACTCATTCCTCCCTCCGCCGCCCTAACCCAACATCCTGCCCCACTTAGTGGTAGGAGGCCCAGCTTGAAAATGATACCAGAGAAAGAACCCAATCATATTTGTTTTTAGGGCTATAGGGCTATGGGGCTATAGGGCTATATGGCTATCTGGCTATAGGGCTATGGGGCTATCGGGCTCTAGGGCAATTGGGCTATAGGGCTACAGGGCTGTAGGGCTATAGGGCTATATGGCTATAAGGCTATAAGGCCATAGGGCTATTAGGGCTATTAGGGCTGTAGGGCTGTAGGGCTATAGGGCTATAGGGCTTGGGGCTATAAGCCGATAGGGCTATAGGGATATAAGGCTACCAGGCACCTGGGCACCC